GATTTTTGCAATTATCAAAAATATACCTAAAAAAAGTCCAAAGAAAATTAAAATCATTTTGGCTGCAATGTCTAATCAAATTTACTTAATAATTTTACCATCTTCACCAATATTACAAATTTTTATCTTTTGCCTGTATTAGTAACTAAGTTAATTACTTCACAGATAGTAGGGATATCTGGGTTTAGAAGATTGAGCTAGTCAGGAAAGGCATTCCCACTGAAAATATGGTCTCCTCCCTTTTAGGGTAGCTGTGTTTTCCTGATATGCTCCAGAAGGAGCTATTTTTATTGTAAGTAAGTTGGATTTATATAAAATTGAGTAATAGTAGATGAGAGGAAGTACACAGAGAGTTGTGACAACTGGGTGCTAGATCCCACTCCTTGAATGTTTATAATTTCTTATAAGATAGAAAAATGAAAGTAAGAAAGAGGAAGAACTCTCTTCCCAGACTGATAAATGAGACTTTCCACTGGGTGCTGAGAGGCCTTATCCCACCTGATCAAAACAATATTATTATGTTTGGTCTTGTACTTTATTTTATTGAACTTCATATTAATCTATTATTCTGTTATTTAGTTCAACCAATTGTACCTTTTTTTTACTACTTTTTTAGTCCAAATAGCTTGAAATAATATGGTATTTTATGTTGTAATACTATGGTATTTATGCTTTTATTGAGGACAATAACTGCAAGTTCTGGTGTGTTAAATGAAGTCTGAGTGTGGCAGAACCTACCAGGATCATTTCTGGAGCTCTGAGAAAAGTAAATCTGGCACAGTCTTGCCTACACATGTTAGAAAAATGTTTCTGTAGAAGATGAGCATATTGTCAGAACAGCATTCAATATCCATTTTTGGCTCTCTGGAAAGAGGAGGGAATGATCAGGAAGTCCAGAACCAAGTGATTAATAATTTGACAGTGTAGACAGACCATATCCTGAAAAAGTCTTTGAAATATCTTAACAGAATAATACGCAGTCAGTGTGTGACAGTTCCCTGAACACTCATGCATCTCCACTATGTAACCTGTATTAAGCAATCGGTGAAGAATGTGTGGAAGAAAAGGAGAACTATTAATTTATCAGTCTACAGTATAGGGAAGGAGAGTACATGCATAAAAAATTGAAGAGAAAGAAAGGATTTGCTGTTAAACAAGAAGGAAAAATAAATATATATGCAATTAGGTTCCCTGCAGAGGTCTAGTTGTTTCTCCAACAGAGATGCCTGCACAGAGCACTTCACTCTCTGTGTCATGATACATTAAACCATGTGCTAAAGCTTACATTTCTATCTTTTCAACCTGTCATCAGTAGGCCTACTACAACTATTGGTTTGACAGGCTTGTCTAGCTCAGTCCTCAGCATTGTTAGCTTGGGAGGATAAGACAGATTCCAGTCAGAACAAATACAGAAAGAGAAATATTCCCTGTGGCATGTCTGTACCAAAGTCAAAGAGGCCATGATGTTCATAGCCATATTTAGCAAATTTATACAGAGTCATAGATTTATGGCCTGAAGCTACAGCTGTGATCTTGTAGACGAACTTTCTGCCAGAGGAAAACAAAATTTCACCCAGCCATCTCTGCCTTGAGGAGATGTCTTTCTAAAAAGTAACAGTACGCTTATGAAATCTTCAAGTAGCACAGGAAGTACCAGCATAATTCCAATAAATCCTTGCCATAAGTTATTAAAAAAATTGAAGATTGTCCTTCACCTGAATTTGCCAAGTTATTATTTCCAGTTATTTCTAGTTATTAGAACTTGTTATTCCTTTGTCAATTAGGCTTTTAATCATAAAATCTTCTCTTTATGCAGATACTAATACACTATGATCAGATTACCTCTTGGGGAAAAAAAAAAGAAAAACACAAACACACAGACTACTGTCATGGAGGTTTTTTTTAATTATTATTATTATTAAACTAGACTTTGCGTATTAGTATAGTGTATTACATAGTCTAAAAAGGTGTTATTCTTTCACAGTTAATACAGCTATAACTGCCAAAACAGCATGTAATTCTGTATTGAGGTATCTGATTGCTCGATATTTTAAAACACAGAAGTGGACCATCTCTTAAGGAGTACGTGTACAGATATCAGTGCATTTGGTACTCTTGGGAAGGGAACGA